AGAATCCCGCCCTCACGGCAAAGCCTGGCAAGCTACCCGTGGTATATTCGATATGCCAAAAACAGTAACAAAAAGTCTCACAATGGAGACATTACTGGTATCCGCTCAAGCAAATCAATGAATAATGGGAGAACAGTGCTACAGTGCAGTTGTTTGGAGGCCACACCTGGTGGTGCTCAGAGCTTACTCCTGGCTCTGCACTCAGGGCTCACTCCTGGCAATCTCAGGAGACCAAATAGTATGCTGCAGATCAAAGTCAGGTTGGCTACAAGCAAAGGAAACACCCCACTCCCTCTACGAAAGCTCCGGTCCTGCGAAGTAGGTATTTTTGTTTGTTGTGCTTTGAGGTCACAACCAGCAGTGCTCCAGACTTAAGGTTTTCCTGGCTCTGTGCACAGGGAGCAAATATGGCAGGCTCAGGGGACCATAAGTAGAGCTGAGGATCAAATCCAGGATAGCTGCATGCAAGGCAATTGCTTAATCCACTATACTATCTCTCCTGCTCCTAAAAATAGGTTTTAAATACAAGTGATTACAAATAATTTTTTAAAAAATCCTTATTTATTAAATATTCTATTCAGATTATGAGTTTAGAGTTTATTTATTTATTTATTTGCTTTTTGGGTCACACCCGGTGATGCACAGGGGTTATTCCTGGCTCAAGCACTCAGGAAATACTCCTGGCGGTGCTCGGGGGACCATATGGGATGCTGGGAATCGAACCCGGGTCGGTTGCATGCAAGACAAACGCCCTACCTACTGTGCTATCACTCCAGCCCCTAGAGTTTATTTTTATATACTATTTCATGAATACAGTACATCAAAATTAAAATGCTCTAATTATTTTAGTCTCTATATATTAACTACAAATTTAATGATTTTAGTAGTTTCTGACAAATAAGAATATTATTTGAAAATAACATACATATAAGCTCTAGCATCAATTCTAATGGGAAGAGAAAAGAGTATTTCAGGCATAAAAAGAGCATGAAAGTCCTAAAAGGTAGATGGGCATGTGCAAAAGTAAACGAAAGTTTATAAAACTGAAATGCAGAAACACAGGCAGGAGTGCTATAGATTATGACTGTTTCCATGCTGATGGAAAGTTAGTAAAAGAGAGAGGTGAGAGATGGAAATGTCAAGAAGATAAGGTTGCTAAGAAAATAAAATCTAGAGCACAGGTGGTAAAAGAAGCCTCCCTAAGAAGCAAAAATTAAGAGCATCTGCTCCAGTAATATGGGATGTGGAATGAGAAGGAAAAAATGATACATGTGGAGAAAATCTAAAATAATTTCAGAAAATCGAAAAAAAAAAAAACCAAACAATTCTGTTGAATGCTGAAAAAGTGGGTTTAGATTAGTCATCATAAGGATATTTGACAAATAAATCATTTAAAAATCCCCTTTTCAAATAAACTACTTCCTAAATTTTTTAATCTAAAATGTAATTGTTAAAAAAAATCAAAATAAGCAACTTGGACTTCTCAAGAAGTAGACAAAGCAGGTTCTCCAGACTCTGACTTTTCCACTTGCTAGCTGTATAATGTTTTTTTACCACATTTCTTATCATTTCCAGACTTTTAATTCTAAAAAATGATATCTTCTCACATATTTGTCTTATCAATTGAGGCAGCAATTGCAAATGACTACCATAACTCATTGCAATGAACAAGCAATCTATAAAGGTTCTTCTTAACTCATTATTTTTTAATGAATCACCATGAGATACAGCTACAGACTTGCAAACTTTCATGATTACATTTCAGTCATACAATGATAGAATAACCTTCCATCCACCAGTGCCCATTCTCCACCACCAATGTTCCCAGTATCCCTCCTGGCATCCCCACCCCTTCCCACCCCCGGTCTCTGTGATGGGCATATTCCCTCTTCTCTCTCCCTTCGGGTGTTATGGTTTGAAATATAGGTACTAAGCAGCCATCATGTTTGATCCATAGGCTACTTTCAGTATAAAGGTACTTTTAGAAGCTGTTCCCCCATCTGAATGACAATGCTGTCAAGCTGTCTAAGAGGAAAGGAAAGAAGGGTCTGAGCTTTCTCTTAATGACATCATTTTGATAAGTGTGAGGGTGAGCAGAACATGCCACACTAAAATGTACTTTGGCAGGCAGACAGTTTTGAGCTACAGGCAAGACTCTCAAGTCTCCTCACAGTCAGTGATGAGCTACCTTCCCCAATCTCCCTGTTCTTCCAGAAACCTTGGCAGTCACACCCATGAAATGCCTCTAGTGTCAAATAAGCTCAATAACTGGTCATGAGCCAGAGATTCATAAATAAATCTCAAAAGAGATGAACAAGTTGCAGAGATGCTTTCAGACCCCACACCAGGTTGAGTTATCCAGGGCACCCGAAGTCACCATTCAGTTAAAAATTTAACTCCAACTGCATCACCCAAATAAAAAATTTTGAATTCCTCAAGTGTGCGGCCACAGATCAGCTGTGTGACATCTCAAATGCTACATCATTGATAAACGAGGAGTAGCACACCAGAATGGATGGGATGTAAGGTAGAAGGCGACCAATCTCAATTAACCAAATATAAATACACAAGGCTTAACCTGTATGTTTAGTAATCTCTTATACAAGGGCTTAATGGCTTCATGGTGAGATACAATCTTCACACACTTTCTGCTAAGGAAACATTTTGGATCATTTTTAGTGAATTATTCATAACAAGTAGGACTGTCTGTAGCACTGTCCTCCCATTGTTCATCGATCTGCTGGAGCACTCCCAGTAATGTCTCCAATGTGAGACTTGTTACTGTAGCACTGTCCTCCTGTTGTTCATCAATTTGCTCTAGCAGGTCCAGTAACGCCTCTATTGTGAGACTTGTTGTTACTGTGCTTGGCATATCACATACGTCCCGGGTAGCTTGCCAGGTTTAGCCGTGCAGGCGAGATACTCTCAGTAGCTTGCCGGGCTCTCTGAGAGGGGCAGAGGTTTGGCATATCAAGTATGTCACGGGTAGCTTGCCAGGCTTTGCCGTGCAGGTGAGATACTCTCGGAAGCTTGCAGGGCTCTCCGAGAGGAGTGGAAGAATCTAACCCAGCTCAGCCGGGCTGAGGCAAATGCCCTACCGCTGTGCTGTAGCTCAGGGCCTGCTATAGGGGCAGGCTTGAGGGGTGGTTGGGAAATTGGAATTAATGATAGTGAAAAGCACAATGGTGGTATAATTGGTTTTGGAATATTGAATGTAACAAATCATCATGAACAACTTTATGAAATAAATTTTAAAGGCCCACAGTTTAAAAAAGAAAAAGATTCTTCCAACTCAGGTAAAGCTGTTTACCTCTCCATTCACTGCCTAAAATGTGGCGTGGCGAATAGAACAGTGATCTGTAGACAAGGCAGGCAAGGTATGTGTGTGTAGTGGGGAGGTGGGGGGGAGGGCGACAGGGGGAGAAGAGAAGTAATGGAGGAGACTTTGGGATAATGGTGGAGCGGTTTTGGCACTCTGGAGGTGAGCAAGGTATAGCAGCAGTGCAAGTATGGAACAGTAATAATAGCACCAGCATAAAAAAAGTAGTTTTTAAAAAGCACACACACAAAAATAAGAATTCAGAGGGACTCTAAAAGAGAACCAGTACCAAAAAGAATTTTTTAAAAAAAAATCAGAAAAACTTATTTTCACAACAGGGCAAACATATGTTTAGAAAACTTTTATTCTTCATCATTTCCTGTAAAGTATCTTTCTTTTCTTACCAGCCCCAGACCTACACACTCTTTCTCCTGAGGTAAGACAACACAGAAACCTCAGTAATGTGACTCTGAGTATCATTTTTCAATACAGCTCTTTTTTAAATTATTTATTTACTTTTATTGTTTTGTTTTGGGGGGCATACTCAGGTATGCTCAAGGGTTACTCCTGGCTCTGCACTCAGGAATTACTCCTGGCAGTGCTCAGGGGACCATATGGGATATCAGGGATCAAACACAGTTGGCTGTGTGCAAGGCAAACACTCATCTGCTGAACTACCATAGAGCTCTTATATGTAGAAAGTTAGTGGAATTTCTCCTGTTAATCTGTCATGTCAATTTAATTATTAAGACAGTCAAAAGCCCGGAAGAGCAGGGAAAAGTTCTCTGCCATACAAGGGTTGAATATCATCCAACTGTGTGAATAACAGGGAGATAAATGCATATGACTGAATTCAGAAATAAAAGATTCTATGAACATAAATATAAACACATATATGAGAAATGCAATAAAAACAGCTAAAGAAACCAGAATATTAATACTGGTGAATTAATACATTTCTCCCATTGAAATCATTAAGTGGGAAGCCAAATTGTACTCAAAATTTAATTTATAGATAAGACAACTAAAGTTAGATTGTGAATTAAAAATATTTTCAAGTAAAAAGAATAAAAATAGTTTTAATTATGACACAATGATTATTGAGGCTGCAAGTTTCTGAAGTTAGTTTAAATCATTTAATGACATTTGCTGGCTATGTGAATGTCAACAAATTATTTAAACTCTACCAACAAATTAGTTAATTTTCACATTTGTAAAATGTAGAAATAAAAATACCAACTATACTGGGTTATTGAAAGGATTAAATGAATAATAGCATCAAGCACATGCAACTGGGTACTATCTACATATATACATAAAATATATTCACATGGTGTAATTAGAAACCTTAGAATCTATTTCAGTGAAGTTAAAAATTTATTTTAAAAAATACCTTTTTGTTTTGTCTTCTGCTTTTGGCATACCTGGTGCTCGGGCATCCCTGGCTCTGTGGTCAGGGGAGCATGTGGGACCAGAAACTAACCGACATCCTGCATGTAAAGCATGCACTTTAGAGAGAACTCTGAGTTATCTCTCTGGTCCTGCTTCCTGTACTTTTAAGCATACTGTCCAAACTACAGTTCCTGAACTATAAAATTAGGGCATCTATCACTTCCTCCCTATCAAAGGAAAATTGTTTGTGACACTTTCTACACTAAAAAAAAGGTATTATTTTTCTTACCTGGGTTTCCACACCCTGCTCCAATAAGCGCTTGGCTTGATTTTCCACTTCCAGTCGAGCTCGTGCAATAAAAAGAAGGTCATTTTCTATTACTTCAATTCCAGAAAGGTCTATTCCTTGAGAAAGATAATCTAATTTAAAAAAAAAAACATTATATTATTTCACTGTCAGGGTGTGAAAACATCATACGTAGGCACTTTGAAATGTTATAAATATTCCATTTTTTTTAAAAATGGCTCTCCAAACAATTTTTACTCAACTAATCACTTTACTCTAATGCAAAATATTACAAAAATGTTTCACTGAAACCCAATCATGAACAACTTAGTACTGTCTATCTCAAGGTGATTAAAAAAAATTTTTTAAGTAAATTAAACTGCCCTTAACTTAAGAAATTTCTGAGATTTGGGAAATTTGTTTACATTAAAATAATTTTAATTATTTAAAAATGTTATATATATTCCATATTTTTTTAAAAAAATATATGGTTATCCAAACAATTTTTACTCAGTGATCACTTTACTCTGGTATAAAATGTTCAAATAAAGATGGTCAAGCAAGAAACTATAACACTATAAATTTAAAGAATTGTCAACAGATTATATTGAAAGGTGTTAAAATTATTATAATGTAAACAATTTCCCAAATCTCAGAAATTTCTTAAGTTACAGGGAAGTTTTATTTATTGTTTATTCATTAATCACTGTGAGATACACAGTTACAAAGTTGTTCATGATTGGGTTTCAGTCATCCAATTTTCCGACACCATTCCTGTCAAAACAGCTCCCCCAAATATTTATTGCCAGGTATATCCCTTGTGGTCTCCAGTCCTGCTGGGCTGGCAAAATACCACATCACTAGGCCTAAAAACCAAACCTATGACTCAAGTGTCTGCAGATCCCTTGAGCACTACTTCAGAGCCCACCACCGGCACCAAAGAAGAAATATAAACAATTAAACATAGAAATTGGTTGGTTGGTTTTTTGGTAAATAAAAGGTTTTACTCTTTTCTTACAAAGGAAAGGCTAACATTGACAGAAGTAGCTAAGATCCACAAAGTCATGATGTGGCCCCAGGAAAGACCTATTGTGGTACTATGACAGAATTCAGAACTAACGGTCCCTGAGCATAACTCTCCTGGCAAAAATGCAAAGCACCTGCAGCTCCTTCGTGCTGAGCTAATGGCAGAGCTGAATATTTGGAATCAGGGACTCAAGCACCATCCTGGTTCAGTCACTGACTGCTTGTGAAACTATAAGAGGAGAAGCTCATCTCTGGTTTTCTTTTCTTTCATCAATCCCCACTGGTTTACAAGAGAATGGCATTTCAGTGGGTTAGCATTACATACTTGTGTGTGTGTATGTGTGTGTATGTATATATGGGCTTCAATGTATGATTGGGTTTCATACATATACAGATCATATTATATGCATGACATTGTAAATAGAATTTTTATAGATTTTATGTTACATATTCACCAACACTCCAGGACCATACGACCCACCCATAAAAGACCGTTCTAACTCATTCCTCCCATTCTTCACTTTCCTTCCAGCAATCACTATGGGTGAATTTTCACCTAGTCTGTAGCTCCAAGTCTCTAAAAAAAGTAAAATTACCTATTTTATCTAATCATCTCCTTCTCGCACTTCACTAGCCCCAGCTCAAATTATACTCACACATTTTCTTTAATTCCATTCCTTCCCTTTCCCTTCAGTATTCTGCTGCTGCCACTATGTCACTGCTGTGGCTGCAGTGAAAGGGGTCACACACAGAGACTGCGTGTGCAGCTGTGGTGTCCACCAAAGGTTTCCCAGCAGGAGGTGGTGCACATGTGTTCAGAGACGGTACCCTGCCAAGGGTTCTGCTCCCTTAGCTGCATCGTTTGCACAAAGCTGAGACATAGTTAGGGGGTTAGGATTGTGATGCTCACACGTGAACTGACCCAAACACAGCACTTTCTGGCCACAGTACTTGTACAGATTTGTAGTTGAGGTACTCACTAGGGGCTGCACCCCTTTTGGGGTGCTGCCAGAAATTACTTGGGACACAAGATATCAGACAAGGTATATGTATCTGCAGGCACAAACAGAAGCGCTACCTGGATTGTGGTCAGTACATGTAAGATACCAGGGATTTGAACTCACGGCTAACCATGTGTATGGCAGGTGGTCTATGTATGTGCACTATTTCTCTAGACCTATAATCACTCCTTATGAAGCAATCAGATACATGCTAGATTGGGAGAACAAAGGGTTATATCAGCTCAGAAGAAAGAGCCATATTGTCCTTACAGATTATTCCACAAATCTTTTTTGTAACAGACAAATGTAGAAACGAGGAGAAAAATAACAAGAAAAAATATATAACAATGCCCCCACCAAATAAAGTGAGCCCCCCCTAATCTGGAAAAATGAAGGGATTATATAAATACTCCCACTTTTATTTAGCTACTCCACAGAATGACTATCAGTGTCTTTATATCTGCTCTTAGTCAAACACATCTACAGACTAGATATAAAACTAAAAAATGATGACTCTAACTTTTGAAGAACTGACATGTGTAAGTAGCGATATGGATGTAAATATCTAAAAGAAGACATTGAAAATGTTTGCCTCTGGGGAAAAGAAATGGGAGAGACAGAGGGCAGGAAATAGCTGTTCTTAATAATAAGCCTTGTAGAAATAGTGAAGTATGTGACACACATATAGGATTCATAATGAAAGTAAATAGAAAACCAATAAAAATAATTTAGGTGACTCTTTTCCTGGGGATAAGTACTTTTTCAAAAGAAAAACTAGGGGCTGGACCCATATTAATGCTGGTAGGCGGCCAACCTAGGCTCGATGCCCTGCACCACACATAGTCCCCCAAGCCCAGCAGGTGTTCAGAGCCAGGAGTAAGCCCTGAGCACAGCCTATTGTGGCCCAAAAAGCCCAAAAACCCGGTAAATATACTTTGGAAGGATAACAATTACCATAATATTAATATTACAGTAATAACCATTTACATACCTAAGGATACATGTGCATATGCTTGTCTATTTGTGTGCGTGTATATAAAAAGAAACACATAAATTAATAAAAGCCATTTCTGAAACTACTTTGGAATAATCTAAGAAGACTCCATATGAGTATACCTAAGGGGTTGAGGAGAGAGCTCAGTGGTAGGGAGACATGCTTTCCACCCTAGAAGCCAAGTCCTGGTCCTGAGATCACTCACTGCCACCCACCTGACCCCCAAGCACCGTTGGGTATAGCCCTCACAGGTTGAGAGCACCACTTTGGTGGTCCTGTAGTCCAGGCACTGCAGGGGCAAGAGCAATTCCATCCCCTGGGGCCCCAGCACCAAACCACCACGCCAGTCTAAAGTGAATTTTTTTCCATGTGACTAACAGAAGATACATGCATGGAAATGTTTCTATAAACCACTGTCAGAAAAAAGCTGAAAACAACCCATGATGATCTACTGGAGAAGAGATAGAAGAGATAAATAAATGTAATTTATTCAAAAAAAAAGCTACAAAAGAAAAGAAACAAATGACAGGTCCACACATGAGTATCAATATTAAGAAAGAATGGTTTTCAGAAGAAAACACACGGGGCCCAGAGCTACAATACAGCAGGCTTTGCACGCATTTGACTGGGGTTCGATCCCTAGCACCCATATGATCTCCCAAGCTCTGCTAGAAGTGATCACTGAATACAGATCCAGGAGTAAGACCTAAGCCAACACAAAATGTGGCCTAGAAACAAAAACAAAACAAACAACAAAAATGAAGAGAACACAAAGTATAGAGTGATTTATATTAAGTTTAAGATAACTTGAAATAAATTTACCATACATATTATGTATATATGCTTATAAATATTTGCAACAGTAATAAAATGAGAAGAAATAAATGAAAAAACATGCTTAGAATTTTTAATTCTTAATTCTAACAACTGGTAGGCACTACTTGGAGCTTACACAGGTTAAAATATAGTTCTGCAACAATGAGATATCATTTCACACCACAGAGACTGGCCCACATCCACAAGAACAAAAGCAACTGGTGCTGGCGTGGATCTGGCGAGAAAGGGACCCTCCTTCACTGCTGGTGGGAATGCCGACTGGTTCAGCCCTTTTGGAAAACAGTATGGACAATTCTCAAAAAATTAGAATTTGATCTCCCATTTGACCCAGCAATACCATTCCTGGGAATATATCCCAGAGAGGTAAAAAAGTATAGTCGAAGTGACATCTGCAATTGTTTGTTCATTGCAGCACTGTTTACAATAGCCAGAATCTGGTAAAAACCTGAATGCCCGAGAACAGATGACTGGCTAAAGAAACTTTGGTACATTTACACAATGGAGTACTATGTAGCTGTTAGAAAAGATGAAGTCATGAAATTTACATACAAGTGGTACTACATGGAAAGTATCATGCTAAGCGAAATGAGTCAGAAAGAGAGGTATAGACATAGAAAGATTGCATTCATCTGGTGAACATAAAGTAACAAAATAGGAGACTAACACCCAAGAGTGGCCGAGATTAGTACCAGGAATTTTGCTCCATGGCTTAGAGGCCAGCCACACATGCTAGGGGAAAAGGGAGCTCAGATAGAGAAGGGAGCACCAAATAAAGGGTGTTGGAAGGATCCTCCCAGGGTAGAAGAAGCATGCCGAAAGTAGACTACACACCAAACATGATTACCACTCAATGCCTCTTTTGCAAACCACAACACTGAAAAGGAGAGAGAGACAACAAAGGGGAATGCCCTGCCACAGAGGCAGGGTGGGATGGGGGGATTAGGGGGTGGGAGGGATACTGGGACCCGTGGTGGTGGAAAATGGGCACTGGTGGAGGGATGGGTACTTGATCATTGTATAACTGAAACTCAAGCACAAAAATTTGTAAGTCTACAACTGTACCTCATGGTGTTTCACTCATAAAAATTAAAAAATAAATGAAAATTAAAATATATTTTGCCTATTTTATTAAATGGTAATAGGTTGCTCCCAGCAGTGCCCAATAGACATATAAATAAGGTCATTTCAAGTTATTATAATTGTATTTCATATTCAAAGAACAAAAAGACAACATGTTGGTAAAATCATGAACAATAAAATAAGACACAACTGAACT